CCTTCAACCCACCCATATGACTCCTTCCCCCACTGAATGGTGGTGAGAGGGACCCTGAAAAGTTCCCCTGTCTGTCTCTAAGTCCCCCCAAAACCACATACACCACCTCCATGCTAACTCAGCTGTGAAGTTCAGCGTTATTCAGTCCCATCGCTGACACTGCACCTTCACACCTGCTTGAAGGACCATGAAGCGTCCTGCCAATGCTGTTAAGCATCTGCCCAGCCTGCAGGGAATTTACCATTACAGAGCTGCCTAGTCCAGCCTATTCCCAATCCCTTCCCAGCAGTTCCAACTGTGTCGGCACAGCCAATGCAGTCTGATCCGAGCAGGCAGCTCCCCTATCATTTGCACTTAGTCATGGTTACTTCTCTTCCAGGTCCTGGCTCAAAAAGTACAAGCTCCACTGGGCTTAAGCCCGGTTTCTGCTCAAGCACGTGCTGCAGTGCCACCTTGAATCGGGGCCCCAGTGCAGAAGAGCCATTGAGCCAGACTGGGAGAAGATGAGGCAGCAGGTAAAATCCTTGCAGCCATGTAATCTGTCTGTCTTGCAGTTTCTAAACTCTGATCTGTGGCCCCAGAGGTATGTAAGCTGCTTGTAAGAGTCACACAAGACAAGCAGGCCTGCCGTTGAGAAATACACGCTATACGGTCTGCGTTACTGCTGGAAAATTTGGAAGGACCACAAATCAGAGGAGATTCGTACCACTCCCTGCATACCTCTCGCATCCAACTCTCCATCTAACTTTCCCCATCCATAAATCTCTCTATTTAGTGTTTCATTACCACTAGTGTCATCTGCAGTCTCCAATCTTTCTCTTATTACGTCTCTTTACCTGAGCATTCCCAAGGCACTGAACCCCCCCGCCTGCAGACAACATTTATTCCCCGTGCCTGTGTCTCTCTCTGGTTCTGGAGCAGCCAAGAGATCAATGGGAGTGAGCTGTGAAATGCCAACACGTGGCTAAGCGCAACCTAGGCTTTCAGCCCGCTTTTAGGCTATTTCTGTGTTCTAATAACCCCTGATCCATCTGCACTTTGCCATGCCCCGTGATTCAATTAGCCTCTAAATCAAATTATGCCTGGCGCTCTGGACCCTATTATCTCTCCAGATCCTAAACTGATAAAGCTGGGCCAGGTAGCCATGGAGCTGAGCAGCAGAGTGCCCTGCAACGCCCCTCAGAGGGTAACCTCCACTTACGGGAGGAGACCCACCCAGACCCAGACCTGGATCCATGGTTCTAACCTGTCCTAACACCAGCCCGACTCAAAACGGCCCCTGTGGCTCTTCCTCTGGGCACAACTCCTTGCTAGCCCTAGCCCGAGTTTCTAAAGGGCGATCAGAGGGAGGAGCGCTGTTGCCTGGGGATTTCTTCCTGATGAATTTATCAAGACAAAAACTATGGGGGGGAGGCTGTGCAAGGACAGCCGGCTCCCCGCCTGCCAGAGCCTGCAACGCTCAGCCTGATAGTCACATCCAATTAAGCCTAACGTAAACACCACATTAACCCCCAAACCCCAGCCAATGCTGAGCGGAGGGAAGGGGGAGGAGAGGGGGCACATTTTTCAACAAGGTGTTGAATCCGTGGTTACATTTCCCTGTTGTCCTCTTGTGGCGCGGTTCGGGGCAGGGGGGGAGAAAAAACTACAAGAGATAAGGGACCCGTAAATGGCTCGATTCCAGTTGGGAGACCACAGTTATTTCCAAATAGAGCAGCGCAGCAGCTGGGAACAAGACCACTGTGGAACTTAACGACAGAGGACAGGCACAGAAGGAAGCTGGCATTGCCGTTTCACCGCGGCGGAAAGAAGGATGAGGATTTGAACTCTCCCTAAGTGAATCCTTTCATGTGTCCAGTGCTGGGAAAATGTCTCCCAGCCGGAGCTGTCTGGGAGAGTCGCTGTTGGAGCTGACACACCAACCCAGGCCAGGTTTCTCCGATGCCAAATCGGGGAGAAGAAGCCCCCCAAGAAACCTCCTCAGCCCAGGCTGGCGATGGAGGGGCGAGGGCTGGGCAGGGGCGCTGGGGAAAGGCTGGGGCTGCTCGGCGTGCGCTTTTCATATGCAAAGAGGAGGAAAGGGGGGGATGGGAAAGGAAAATGAAACCGATCCTACCTCCTTCTCCGAGATGTAAAGCTGATCTCCCTTCAAAACCACATAACGGTTTTTCCAGATTTCCCTAAAAATGCCTTTCCCGCAAAATTTCCGCACCCAGCCGACCTTCTCTGGCTGCACAGATTGCTGGTTTCCATCCTGTTGCCCCTAACACAAAGAGAGAGGGAAGAAAACGGGGGGAAATGGTATTATTTTTTGGTTTTACACTCCTCCCCTCCCCCCCCCTCCCTCTTTGCCCAACTTTCGCCTCCCCCTCCTCCCGGCCCCTCTCTCCACCGAAGCTGGGACCCAGGCGCTTTGCTTGATTCACTCTACGGAGATTTTTCTGCTGCAGACATGAAGCAACAACAGTAATACCGAGGGGACGATGCAAAATCCGCAGGCAGGGTTTCACTCCGTGCATTATATAAGGAAGGCTGTTGTGTTATATTCGCCTCACACAACGCGCATTTGCCCGTGGAAAGAGGAAGAGGAGGGTGTCGGGGAGAATTTAAACTAGCCGATTTTTTACTGCAGTGAAAATTGCATTTCTGAGCCTTTTGTGAACAATTAATCCTAGAGGCGAAACCTATGTATGGGTTTATATTTAAGGTTTCTTCGTAGGCAGCGATAAGATCTCGGGGCGCAGCAGACACAGGCACACGGCAGAGAGCAGGCAGAGCGCGACGGATAGATGGTGTCTCCGTATTTTATCGTTTCCTTGTGATCTAAAATGAAAACTGCCTGCCTACATCGCTCGGCAGGGAACGGCGAACAGTACCTCCTGGCCAATTCAAGAGGAAGGAGAGGCGCTGGGCAGTAGGGAGAGACGGGTGCTGGGTTTGGGTTTGTTTTGATCTGGTTGGGGTTTGGGGTTTGGTTTTTTGGGATTTTTTTTGCAAGGCAAGGGCAGGGGGGAGCGGAGGCAAAGCGAACAACTGGAAATCAAAAGAGAAGCCCCCCTCCCCAAAACACCCGGCAGCCTCCCCCGCCCCACCGCGCCCCCAACA